CACCCAAGCAACCAAAAGAAGCCCACCGGGAATACCACCCGAAGAATTGACCGCCACCCGGGGTTACACCCTGCAGCGATGCCCTGCTGCCGGACCCGTCTGGATCCGTTTGGACGCCAAGCGTTGACAAAAGCCACATTTCGACACATCCGACACAGCTACCGCCCAGCGCGCGTCCGTACGTCGGGCCTGCACCCCGTCGGAAGACCAACCGCGCTTCAGTGACGTGTCCATGGCCGCGGCCCGCGAACTTTCCACCGTCTGCCGACCAGTACTCCGACCACACCGCAGAGCTGTCCAGCGACGTGCCCAACGCGCCCAAGTCCGCCATCGAAACCAACGCAGCCTCGTCCTCCCGGCTCTCCACCACGATCGGCTGTAGCAGTGCAGTCGACATCAGAGACCGAGGGTCCGGCATGCTCCGGACCAAGTGAGAGACCCTCACCACCACGGATCGCAACGACACCGCGTCCACCAGTGTCACGTTCGTCCACACCGTCACGGTCTGAGACTTGGCCGTGCGCGGCGCCAGAACCACCTCCGCAGTCTTCAGCCACCTCGCATCGCTCGACTGCAACTCGCCCGACACTTGCCATCCACCATCGCTCTTCACGCGGTGCAGCAGCACGAAGTCGCTCCAACGAGGAACTGCCATGCTCACGCTCTGCACGTCCAGCCGAGCGCCGACCAGCCAACGCCAGACGCGCGATCCAAAGCCACAGACACTAACTGCCTCGGCGGCAACGCATTACCGTCTCGTTCACGAATACCATCGAGCGCAGCGCCACAGACAGTCCAGGTCGCGACGCCGCCATGAGATCGCCAGCGGACGCACCACTTCCACCGCTGCGCCGCATTCCGCTTCTCCCGGATCACGAGCACCAAAGAACACGGAAAACACCCGAGAATGACGCCACCGGGTACACCTGCAGCACGCCTGCTGCCGACCCGTCCGATCCGTTTGACGCCAGCGTTGACAAAGCCACATTCGACACATTCGACACGCTACCGCCAGCGCGCGTCCGTACGTCGGCCTGCACACCGTCGAAGACCAACGCGCTCAGTGCCGTGTCCATGCCGCGCCCGCGAACTTCCACCTCTGCCGACCAGTACTCCGACCACACCGCAGAGCTGTCCAGCGACGTGCCCAACGCGCCCAAGTCCGCCATTGAAACCAACGCAGCCTCGTCCTCCCGGCTCTCCACCACGATCGGCTATAGCAGTGCAGTCGACACCAGAGACCGAGGGTCCGGCATGCTCCGGACCAAGTGAGAGACCCTCACCACCACAGATTGCGACGACACCGCGTCCACCAGTGTCACGTTCGTCCACACCGTCACGGTCTGAGACTTGGCCGTGCGCGGCGCCAGAACCACCTCCGCAGTCTTCAGCCACCTCGCATCGCTCGACTGCAACTCGCCCGACACTTGCCATCCACCATCGCTCTTCACGCGGTGCAGCAGCACGAAGTCGCTCCAACGAGGAACCGCCATGCTCACGCTCTGCACGTCCAGCCGAGCGTCGACCAGCAACGCAGACGCGCGATCCAAAAACACAAACACTAACTGCCTCGGCGGCAACAATACCGTCTCGTTCACGAATACCATCGAGCGCAGCGCCACAGACAGGTCCAGGTCGCGACGCCGCCATGAGATCGCCAGCGGACGCACCACTTCCACCCGCTGCGCCGCATTCCGCTTCTCCCGGAACACCAGCACCAAAGAACCACGGAATACACCCGAGAATGACGCCACCGGGTACACCTGCAGCAAGCCTGCTGCCGACCCGTCCGATCCGTTTGACGCCAGCGTTGACAAAGCCACATTCGACACATTCGACACGCTACCGCCAGCGCGCGTCCGTACGTCGGCCTGCACACCGTCGAAGACCAACGCGCTCAGTGACGTGTCCATGTCGCGCCCGCGAACTTCCACGTCTACCGACCAGTACTCCGACCACACCGCAGAGCTGTCCAGCGACGTGCCCAACGCGCCCAAGTCCGCCATCGAAACCAACGCAGCCTCGTCCTCCCGGCTCTCCACCACGATCGGCTGTAGCAGTGCAGTCGACACCAGAGACCGAGGGTCCGGCATGCTCCGGACCAAGTGAGAGACCCTCACCACCACGGATCGCAACGACACCGCGTCCACCAGTGTCACGTTCGTCCACACCGTCACGGTCTGAGACTTGGCCGTGCGCGGCGCCAGAGCCACCTCCGCAGTCTTCAGCCACCTCGCATCGCTCGACTGCAACTCGCCCGACACTTGCCATCCACCATCGCTCTTCACGCGGTGCAGCAGCACGAAGTCGCTCCAACGAGGAACCGCCATGCTCACGCTCTGCACGTCCAGCCGAGCGTCGACCAGCAACGCAGACGCGCGATCCAAAAACACAAACACTAACTGCCTCGGCGGCAACAATACCGTCTCGTTCACGAATACCATCGAGCGCAGCGCCACAGACAGGTCCAGGTCGCGACGCCGCCATGAGATCGCCAGCGGACGCACCACTTCCACCCGCTGCGCCGCATTCCGCTTCTCCCGGAACACCAGCACCAAAGAACCACGGAATACACCCGAGAATGACGCCACCGGGTACACCTGCAGCAAGCCTGCTGCCGATCCGTCCGATCCGTTTGACGCCAGCGTTGACAAAGCCACATTCGACACATTCGACACGCTACCGCCAGCGCGCGTCCGTACGTCGGCCTGCACACCGTCGAAGACCAACGCGCTCAGTGACGTGTCCATGCCGCGCCCGCGAACTTCCACCTCTGCCGACCAGTACTCCGACCACACCGCAGAGCTGTCCAGCGACGTGCCCAACGCGCCCAAGTCCGCCATCGAAACCAACGCAGCCTCGTCCTCCCGGCTCTCCACCACGATCGGCTGTAGCAGTGCAGTCGACATCAGAGACCGAGGGTCCGGCATGCTCCGGACCAAGTGAGAGACCCTCACCACCACGGATCGCAACGACACCGCGTCCACCAGTGTCACGTTCGTCCACACCGTCACGGTCTGAGACTTGGCCGTGCGCGGCGCCAGAACCACCTCCGCAGTCTTCAGCCACCTCGCATCGCTCGACTGCAACTCGCCTGACACTTGCCATCCACCATCGCTCTTCACGCGGTGCAGCAGCACGAAGTCGCTCCAACGAGGAACTGCCATGCTCACGCTCTGCACGTCCAGCCGAGCGCCGACCAGCAACGCAGACGCGCGATCCAAAGCCACAGACACTAACTGCCTCGGCGGCAACGATACCCTCTCGTTTACGAATACCATCGAGCGCAGCGCCACAGACAGGTCCAGGTCGCGACGCCGCCATGAAATCGCCAGCGGACGCACCTCCGGCGCGCCGTTCATTCGTCCCGAGTTGCTTTTGGAGCCGTC